TCATGGAAATTGGTATTACCGGATTGAAGTACGATGTACGCACGCATGTACACGATGGGAAATATTTGGTGCGGATATTTATTAAATATTCAATTTCTTTTATTGATTAAATTATTTATTGTTTAATTTATGAATCCGAATTATAAATGATGCTATCGTTTATTTGCAGTACGAACCTAAGTCCAGGCCAACCTTTCCAGAAATTACGACTAGCTTGGAAACTATGATAGCAGCCTGTGAAGAGGAACTGAAGAATAACATTGGTAAACGGCAATCAACCGTTGATCCAACGCTGATGTCCAGCATGGATGAGATTGCACGAGAAGGACGCACGACGAAGCGGCGTACCGCAAAACTCAGAAGCCAATCGGCGGACGCGAGAGGTTGCGATAACGCGACGCCATCGGATAAGGCAAGATGTCATTCTGCTAGGCGAGTAGCTGAACTCGCCAGCCGTCGAGATCCGCATTACAGGCCGATGACGGCGAATCCATTTCACGCATTGGGTGGCGTTAAAAAGATCCTCGGCGATCTGTTCTCCAGCTGTTTAGAGCTGCCCTCTTCGGAGGATGTGCGACCCAGCATCACCGACAGCACGTGCAGCAAGTTCAAGCCGGCGCAAAACGATAGTATTGCCAAGATTCTGGACAGAAAGAAGCCAAATTCCGAACCGAGCAGTCCTACTGCAAGAAAGAAGTGGGAGAGAAAAGTAAGTACACAGATTCAGCATAAATGATTAAGTATGGGATAGGGGCTATTCCATTAGTTTTAACCTTGAAATAATATAAAACGGCAGCTCACAATATTTCTCTCTTTACAATGACATATACAATGATAATGTCTTATACAATGATTGAGAATCTTAAGAATAAAGTATGATTATATCAAATGTTCAGTATGCTGTTCAGAAACATAAACATTACTGTGAGAAAGAGACGAAAAAACTTTACACTATCTCTTTAAAACATAAATTATTATATTTAGAACATAAATGAATAATATGTATATCATTTTAAAGATATTTGCATAATTCATATCTATATCATGTTTAAAGTTCCGATTATTGCGTTTGAAGCTATATGTTTTTATCATGTTTACTAACACACATATTGTACCACACGTGTGTTTTTAGGTTGCTACTAAGGTGGGCGTCGCAAGTTTGTTCGCCCATCCGCTCTTCCGAGATGGTTGGGAGCCGCGAAGACGTGGCAGCTGCGAATCAGGCTTCTGGAGTTGCGTCGGCGAAGACCTGAGTCCAGAGCCGCCAAATCGACGGCACACGTCGACTCTCAGCAGCTCGGCAGCAAGCAGTCTGTTCCTGCTGGATGACCATCGAACCAGTTCGATCTACACAGACTCCTCCGAGGACATTGCCAGCTTAGGCGGTGGCGATTCCTGCTGGGAGGATCGACTGAATGGCATTGGCTCAAGCAAGACCATCTCGAAAATTGTCGAATACTTTGAGAGGAAGCAAACGGGTAGACTCGGTGATCACGGCGACACTGCTGGTCCTAGTCGCCTGACTCTGCTACGGGCCAGTCTAGAAGGGCCCGTGCCCATCAGTAGCATCTCGGCCGCGCAACGGCTAGTCGTGTGCGAAGGTGCCGTGCGCAGTAAACTTGCGTTATTCGACAAAAAGTGATATTACGCCTGAGGCTCTTGGCAATTTCTTATTATTTTCTTTTGACAGCGTCCGCGTGAAAAGAACCGTATATATAAAAATGAAAAAATGAAACGCGATACAAGTCCCGACAGAGGCTCGTTATCACATGCCGGTGACGGTGAAAATTCTGGGACATTACATAATAATTAGCGTGTTTCTTACATATAGTTGAAGAGTGAAGAATGTATGTTGTCTTAATGATAGTAGCAATCGGTCTTCTTGCGCATAAAAGATTTGGGACGGATGAAATGGGCGATTATAGTATCGGCGCGTCATTCGTAATTTGTAGACAGGATAGCTGATAACACGCATGCGACGCATGCTTACAGACACTTCTCTAAAAACCTAGTAACCTGACTGTGATGTTTTTTGATAATCTACATACATTATTGAACTATAACGACTGAAATTTGATGGAGCCATCAACAGGATCTTTTATACGCAACACGAGTCGCGTTTCATGTAACTTGGCTACAACGATGCGCCGTTCAAAAAAGAGAAAGAAATAGGGAGGAGAGAACGAAACAATAGCGAATTTTGTCAAAAAACTGCGTTTTCAGATTAGGGCCGAAGGTAGCGCTAATCGATTATTGCCCCTCGATTGACATATTTTGCAGTGCCTCGCAGTTCCTAGTAGCCATCTCCGTCCTTATGCACACGAACGATGAGTATTACCGATCATTGTAAGGATAGCTATACAGATCGACGACAAATAAAGGCGACTTTTTTTATTTAAGTCGAATAGGCGGATTACTAGGCTAAAGGTTCTTATCTCGCCATTCTTAATTTTTCGATTAATATGATTAACTTTGTCGGATTGTGTTGTATTTTTTTCTTTCTAATGTGTTATTAACAATCCTATCAATTTTTAATTTTTATTTTTGTATCTAAGGATTCGCTGGCCTGTTACTGCAGTCGTATTTTTTCCTGTTTATATTAAAATAAATTAAATTTTATTTATATATAACTATTTATATTTATTAAAATTTAGAAATTTTTTTTCAATCAAGTGAAATAATAGCTATGAATCTAATTAATTTAAATTAACTAACCGTCATAAAGTTTGATATAAATACAGATCTTGTTGCAATATGTAATTATTTATCAGACAAGAAAACATTTATTTTATTGAAATTTATTCTATTGAGTGATGATAGAAAATTATACGATATAAGAAAAAAAATTTATTTAATTTTTTTCCTAATATCATTATTTAGCATGCTGCAGTGAAAGGCCAAGAGAGGACCCTTAAGTTCCACATCTACAGAGGCCTATGTCGCGTTTGCGAAATTCTTATTTTGTCTTTGACGTACTGATGTCGACGCAGCGCGAAGTTCATCGACGTTAGTACGTGCTTTTTCAGCGATTCGCAGTTTCGCGTATCATGGCGTGTTAATAGCTCGGGATACAAAGTGCCGGATATGTAACGGTAATGCATATATACATATATATTTTTTTGTTGGCAGAGGACCGTGTCCTGGATATTCTTGTTGACGTGTTGCACGTATAGCCGAGAGAGTTTCTTCACTTTGAAAAGAGAATATATGAAACTGATCTAGTCAGTGTATTAATGTGGCGGCCTTATCTTTTGTACGTTGTAGCGCTAAAACTTGTAGTATTTAAAGTTGAAATAGCAAGCGTGAAATGAGCGAGATGAAATCGGGCGTCCTGCTTACACCCGATGGTCTTCTCCCTTTTTGTTTTTGAACGTCGGTATATTTATATACAATGGAAAAGAGAGTGAGACTGAGAACGTGCGAGACAGAGTGAATGATAGTGCCTACCGCACTGGTGTGCATGCGTACATGTATGTATGCGTATGTGTGGGTATCATAGAAAGAAAGTGTACACGTCCAAAAACGATATCTATGTAGGTAGCTACGACTTTCACATATATAACGTGAATCGTTTTGTCGCTCAGACAGCGAGTCGAACCAAATCTACAATCGTAGAGTGATAGACTAATGTGACGATACCTTTTTACTTGTCGAAGTTCGCTCACGGGTTTACTCCATAAGACTGTGCGTTTGTTATGTAATAGGTCATATTGTAAATAGAGATGCTCGAAATCGCGTCAACGATATTCGCAGTCTCTTCTTCCTCGTATACAATAGGATGCGCGCTATGTGTCTTTTCTTTGCGTTTCTTTTTTTTCTTTTTTTTTTTCCTTTTAATTTTCGCTCGTCGAATCGGGGCCTTCTTTTTCTCCTCGATGCGTCAATCGGTACCTGAATAATCGAAGCGAGGAAAGGACTGCGAACGAGTTAGTTCTTAAGCATGCGGACATATCAGGAATATGGGCATATCCTGAGGTTCAACCTGATTGATAAAGGGCAATAAATGCGTGGTTTATGATGTGATGGAGTTTACGGGATACATGTTGCGAATGTGAATGCATGAATGAGAAGGGAAAGAAAGAGAGAGAATATGAAAGCGGAGTTAGTGGACCGAGAGGCGCATTTTTAAAAAAGAAAGATATGGGTTATTTATTTTAAGTAAAAACAGTTATATTAAAGATTATATATCTATATATAAATCTACGCAAACGTCGTCTCTTCCATATTTTTCAACTGTTATCTAGAATCTACGACTGCTGTTGTAGCTCTGTATCTTCTTTATATTATTACACTACGAAGAGGATCTGCGTGATATGTCGGGTTTCCTTGTAGCTCTCCGCGTTGGTCATCGAGATATATACAATGTAAAAATTATATATATATATA